ACAATCACATCTAATCATTCTCCACTCTGTTACCAAAGATGAAAGTAAAATACAGAGAGGAAGGATACCTCTTTCTGTGAACTGACTTCACGTGCACAAACTGGCTGAGTCCCAGACGCAGTACAGAGGGTATGGAATTGAGACCTGTGCCCGGCCTGCCAACCACTCACTGGGCAACAGTTTTGGAAGCAGGGACAAGAATGTGACCTCTCTCTTTCTCCCTGTGAAGGCAGCACCTTTATTGTCTTTTTCTGGCCAGTCTGTGCCCTGGGCTTTGACATCACTGGACACAGATCCTTTCGCCTTGGTCTTTGATGTTGATGTTTTTCTGCCTTTCCTCTCGGGCCTCTGCTGCATTTGTTAAGCCGCAACCTCTGCTGTCACTCATTGTGAACTGCCTGAAAAGAAGGCACTCAGCTCTGTTGAGCTATTAGTCTGCTGCAAGCCAGAGTGGGCATGTCAGCCACACCACAGCTTCCTGACCCAGGCCTGAGGGGCCTGTCTGGAGGAGTAGGCCCTGGTTTCCTGCTCTGTGAGCACAGCAGCACCTTCAGTGTGGGGTTCGGCTCTGTCAGCCCAGCCTGGCAAGGCCGTAGCTTTATTGGTATCACTAAGGTAGGAGCCCTGTGGTTTCCTCAGCTACTACAAAAAATATAAAGCAGGGACCGTGGTGTGACATGAGCAATTACCCCTGGCAATTCCCCTGGCACCATCAGCCACAGACTCCAAACCAAAGGAGGTAATGATGCTGGGAGGCCCTGGGTTCAGGAAAATCTAGGAGGATAAGTCAGATCTACATAGGGAATAGCAATGACAGCATTCCACACTTCACCTGGTACGTATGAAGACTGCCTACTCCCAAACACTCACTTCTGCTTCCTGGCTGTAACATCAGAATGCTATTCTGAAGTTGTTAGAAAAGATCGTGTCCTCATTTTTCAAATGGAACAAAACATTTGCCCTGCTCGCCCCACTCCAAGGAGAAAAAGGTTTGCACTTGGGCAAAAGTCTTTCAGTGAGGCAGATATATTTCTAGGAACAGAACCAAGGTCTCAAGACTGTCAGCCCAAAGTTACTCTCCCGTGAGCTCACTGCATCACCGAAATGAGGACAATGTGTCAATCTAAATGTCACTACATGGAGCTTCAGGACTGCCTCTTGTCAGCAACAAATGAGACGA